TGCTAACGTACGTTCGTTGCTCTTTGGTTGCAAATTTGAACGTTATACACCGAGTACAGATTAGTCGTTAATTTGAACGATATATCGACCGTCGCCAAACAGACGCTAATTAGCGACTATAATACGACGGGAAAATCTAGCAACCATTTTTTGCGACTAACGGAAATAGTCGTTAATTAGTTGGAAAACTCTTTCGCGACTGTTAAGCAACTATTTTCACAGTCGCAAATGAAATGTTTTCTTGTAGTATTTATGCTAATTATTTCTGAATATATTATTAAAATAACTAGACCCCCGCGATGTCGCGGGGGAAAAGATTTCTAAAAAATTTAAAGAAAAAAATATCAAATGAAATGTCATAATGAATTGAGACAACAAGTTTCAAAATAATTTTTTTAACAATAAATAAAGATATATTTTATAAAAAAAATATGATAAAGAGACGTAAACCCTCAAAAATATTATTTTAGATTTTTATTATTATTAGAAAATATTATGGTGAAAAGATGCGATCATAAATAAAAAATATTAAACAAAAAGTTATAATGAGTAGATGCAATTTTTCAAAATTTTTAACTATTATAAATATAACTATATAAATATATTCTTCAAAATATTACGATGAAAAGATGCAATATTTTAAATTGTATTATATTAAAAAGAGACAATCTTCGAAAAAGTTTAACAAATAACAAAAATAGATAATTATTTAGGAAAAAATAATAATGATATCGATATCAAAGTATATACATGAATGCTAAATAGTAAAAACGTAACTTTTTATGAAAAATATCAAACAAAAAGAAATAATAAATTTACACCACTTAAAAAAAAATTTATATCTATATGAGTTACAAAGACATGAAAGTTTAAAAAGAAAAAATTGTTTGTAAAAGACACAATTATTAGAACCAAGTATTTGTGATGAAAAACACGAATAAAACATGGTGATAAGATAATAATCTAAATGAAAAAATATAACTTTAGTTAATGCTTTGTTAAAAAAAAAAAGAAGCTTTAGTTAATGCTCTAAAAAATGTATTACAAAAGGCAATGTTGAAACGGTTCATCAAATATACCTAAAGTTGTAATAACTTATCAAATAAACTAAACTTGCAGTGGTTCATCAAATATATCAAATATTATCACTACAAGAAATATCAACATTCTTAGCAGGATAGAAGTGCTATAATACGTCATTCATAGCGTTTTCATAAACGCTGTTTCTGCCCCAGTTATTATAGACCCCCCATATACGATAGCGCTTTTGTCATGCTTTGATAAACCCCCACATACGATAGCGCTTTTATATTATAGCACTGATTGAACGCTATAATATACTTTATTGTAACTCACGCTTAGTGCTGTTTTATATAATCTCGTAGATTTTTTTAGCTATATAAATTTAATTTGATTTATAAAATAAATTTTATATTGGAACCAATTTTGTAAAATTTACTTAATTGGACATATACATAACTTTTATAATTTATAAATCATCAACAAGTAACATTACATTAACCAAATAAATCATACATAACATCATATTAACTCTTAAATTACTAAAATGTCGCCTAGCCTTAAAAAACTAAAACTAACATCATAAGGGGAAAAGAAAAAACTTCTTAAAACCTTACTAGCGTTCCTTATTCCTCCGCCCATGGTCAAGTTGTTCCTGTTGTTTGTGTTTTGGAGCAGCTGATCAAGATCCCAAGCTAAGAAGGGGAGCAAGGAGTTTCACATTCAACCAATGATGATGATTTCCTCTAGTACCTGCTAGACACACAAGGGGTTTCACATTCAACGAAACAACTTAGCAATCATCATATCATTCTCAAACAAAAACATGTAATCAAACATAAGAGGAAGTACCTTTGCAAACTTTAGCATTGTGATAGGAAGTTTGTTCTCCTTCAAGGTTAAGCCTTTCTTACTTGTAGCGAAGCCACTCTTTTCAGCTTCTCACTTTGCTAAGGGGTTATAACACCTTTTAAATATAAAGAAAACAAACTCAACAATAAGAAGAGAGTTAATCAAGAAAGAAAATAAAGTTGAATTGCAGGAGAAAGCGGATACATTTGGATTTAACTTCTATGTTAGTTGCATTCTTTGGTGGAAGTAACTTTCTTCCGTGCTTTCTCTTAATTTTATGCCTCCTAAAAAAACAAAAAAACTCAACCTAACAATGCATCAAACACTTGAAGATTCATCAAACTCAAAAGAAAAATAGACAAAGTTAAATCCCTAGAAAAAGGACATTAAAACTGAAACCTTTACAGATTTTTGTAGTGGATTATTGTTAAACTAGAAAGAATCAAATGCTTACCTCTTTTCTATAAACTCATGCTGCAAGTCCCTGTTGAATGCGGCAACAATGAAGGCCAATCTCTCATCGAACTCCTTCACATCCAGCAAAGAATTAATCCAAATATCAATGTTTGCATCAAAATCAAGCAAAGCATAGAAAAAAAAACTCAGCATTTAACGTAGAAACACACTTTCTCATAGAGCACATCAAGGGATTGATCCAACAAATCTTCTTTATTGACGTCAAGACCCTCAAATTTTCTATCTTTAACATCTCCTTAGCTTCCTTCTCATAAACGAATAAGTTTAATTCATAAAACATCTAGAATCAGAAACAAAATTCACATTGAGGCATTATGTCAAACAAAATAAGTTCATTGTGTATACTAAATAACCTCAAAGAGTGAAACTTTAAGCAATGTTAGAAAGGAACTAACAATTAGTAGAGTCATAACTTATTGAGCGTGGCGAGGAGGAAGACGGTGGCGGAGGTGACGGCGGGGATGAACAAGTAGTTGGGAATGGTGGCGGGACATGAATCTTCGATTTCCTGTAACAAAACAAAGAACACAAGGAAAGAACATTAAAATTCAACTTTGAACTACGATACCAAACAAAATCAAAATTACTTTAAACCCATCATCCACCACCGGAGATACAACTCTTTCTTTGGCAAATCTGCTTCATCTTCTTCTTCTCCGTCTCCATTTCTCTCCAATAAGAAAACCCCAAATCTAACAACCCTAACCCTACTCCTCCGTCTCCGTCACCATTTCCGCACAAGAAACCCCCAAATGGAATCCCTAACCCTAGATCGGACCTTCCTGCTCGTAGTCCTAACCATGGTCCTGCGGCTCATTCTCTGGAACATGCCAAGTTTAAGAACGCCTTTTCTCGTTATCAGACAGACACCTTCGCCGTTTTCAATCGGTGGAATTAGGTACTGTAATGAGGTATTGGGGAAGTAAGTTAGGGTTTATTGGTCGTTGGGTAAGAGATTGAAAAGAGGAGAAAGGGAGGCCATTAATCAATTTTTTGTTTCTCAAATCGAAAGGAGGAGAGGAGGAGAAGTTCTCGATACATTTGGGTGAAAGGAGGAAGAAACTTTTTTGCGAGAAGTTTTAGATAAAAGGTGGAAAGGTGAATTATTTTGGCTTAATGTTTGCCGGACTAAGTGATTTTAGATTCCCGCTTAGGGATTTTCTATCATAGCGTTTTTTAAACACTATTATATATTTACCAAAATTTCAAATTTATTTTTAATAGCAGTTGCGAAAAATGAGCTATTTTTATGTGCTATGAATGTAGATTTTTTTTGTAGTGTATAACAGTTCATCAAATAAACCAAAGGTGACAACGGTTCATCAGATAAGCCAAAATGTTCATTGGTTCAAATAAACCAAATGTTACTATGTTCTATTAAACGGTAGCAACATATTCATTTAAATAGTAATTAAAATTAAAAATTTGATGAAAAACTATAACCGAGAGATGCAACCGTAGATATCATATATACATATATAGTAAAAATTGGAATCGTTTGTCAAATATACCAAATGTTGCAACGATTCGTCAAATAAACTAAAGATTACAATGGTTCATAAAACAAAACCATAAATTGCAATAATTTGTCAAATAAACTAAATGTTGCAACAGTTCAATTAAACGGTTATAATTTTATTTAAATAAATTTTAGTAACTAAAACTAAATAATAGTTTATAAAAAATTATACAGAAGGACGTGACTGTAGATAATTAAATGTTACAAC